CAAGTATGGTCACTCTCCGTTAACCTCCGTTAACCTCCGTTAAGTGATGACGTGGCTAACAGAAAGACACAGTCAGCACATTTAAACATTAAAAAAAGACAACCCGACCCGCCAGCTCACCCTTACTCGCCCAGTCAGCCATTCTTGCCCAAACCCGCGAACCAGACCCAATTAACTGACCCTAAACCCAAACCAGTGACCCAACCCCCCCTGAAAACTAAATCGCATACCCAATTAGGGCATTTCCCTTCCTCTCCATCTTCATCCTCTCATCCTCCCGACCGCCTCTCTACTTTGCACACCGCAAAAATCGCCGTCGAAGGGATGGAGGCCGCCGCCGCGCCGCCTCCCTGAATCCCTCACCCCTCCCGCGTCTGTTCTTCCTCCGCCGCGACCCTTCTTCGCTCGCTGCTGTTTTCCCCCTTTTGCAACCCGCCCGAAACCCTAAATCGAAGCCGCGAACGCCTGAATCCCTCCCTCCGCCGCGACCCTTCTTCGCCCGCTGCTGTTTTCCCCCTTTTGCAACCCGCCCGAAACCCTAAATCGAAGCCGCGTCTGTTCTCCCTCCCGCCGCCGCCCTAAATCGACGAAGGAGACAGAAGAAGGAGACAGAAGAAGCCGTGGTTGACGAAGGTTGACGAAGGAGACATAAGAAGCTTTCTCTCCTGTTTTAAAGGTAACGCTCACCTGCTTCCCCTCTTCTCTCCTCTTCTCTATTCTTCGCTTTTATAACCCGACGAGTAAAGGAAGAGTTGTCGCTGTCCTGGGGCAAGGGGAATCTTTTGGGGCTGGAACTTTACCTTTCTTTATACTGATGGTGGAGTTTTTGTCAGTTTTTCCAGCTCAGCCTTCACCATGGTGGGTCATGTGCGTGCACCAAATGCGCCCCAACCAAAATATGGTGAGTCAACTGTCCCTGAAACAGCTCCCCTTTATTGCAGTAAAAGACATCAGTTTGTTGTCTTTTTCGAATTGAAAAATAGGGAGTGTGTGGAATAGCAAAACCAGCAGCATGTGTGAAGTGGTTCAGATGTCATTTTCATGGCTTTTAATACTAGTTGTTGGGTTAAAGAAGTTAGACTTTAGCATCTGCCCTTTACTGCTTTGTCATTTTAATTACCCATTCTCTCTTTCGTTGTTTGCAACAGGTACTTCTAGTGGAGAGTTCACATTTGAAGTGCACTTATCAGAGTCATTGAAGAAGAAGGGTGGCAAGCATTTTCTGGATGAGAAGTCTACAGTCTACTGGGACTATGCAGATATCGACGAGTTATCAACGCTTGATCTGCCTGACATATACAAGGCATGTGGAGGGAACCTTGACAAGCCGAAGTTCTTCTGGAGCACTCCTTCAACTGATGCTATGTCAGAGATCACGTCAGATGAAGATATACTCGCCATGTCAACAAGTGCAAATGAAGAGGCGAGGGTCATCGAACTATATGCCATCTCTGAGGAAGACATTGCTGAGATCATGGACAGTGATGATGACGAAGATGGAGGTGCCACCAAGGGTAAAAAGGGTAAAAAAGTTGCTGGTCGTGATTCGGATGATGATGATAGTGATTATGAGGCTAGTGAAGAGGAGGATTTTAGCAGAGCTGACAATCTGCAGTTTGAAAGAAGCGTAGCTGCAGATGTAGAAGTTGATTTCTACACCGAAGAAGACGAAATTGAGAAGTGCAAGAAGACTATCATAGAGGCAGAAGAGGGTTCAGATGTCGACTCAGACGATCGAAGGACAATTTGTAGCTCGGATGAAGATGAGGACAGTCAACAGGTGGTGTTTCGAGCTGAGAGAGACATGGAGAGTCCTACCTTCGCTGTTTCGCAAAGATTCAGCAGTTTCGACGAGTTGAAAGAGGCCATAAAGCAGCATACCTTTGTGGAAAAGCGCCCCATTCGCTTCAAGAAGAACGACAAGAGGAGGCTGCAAGCAGTATGTGGAGAATAAAGAGAATTGGGAGTGGTTATTGGAGCTCATCGCTAGTGACTTGGAGGTTAGGGACAATCCCGGATGGACTTTCATGTCCGACAAACAAAAGGTATGCTTTCACTTTATTTATTCCTTGTTTTGTGCTTACAATTCTCGGCTGTCCATAATTTGAATTGTGTGTTATTGGTGTTTTAGGGACTAGTGCCAGCTCTCGATGGACTCTTCCCATCCTGTGAGAAGAGGTATTGTGCAAGGCACTTGTGGACCAACTTCAAAGGTGCTTGTGGGGGGTCCCAAAACATGAAGAACCTGTTCTGGGCAGCAGTTAGAGCGGAAACGGTGCCTGAATTTCGCAACCAAATGCAAGCCCTATCGGAATACAACAAGGCAGCCTATGATTGGTTGATCGACAAGCCATTCTACCATTGGACAAGGTCACATTATCAAACCCTCTGCAACTCTAAGATTCATACGAGCAATTTGGTGGAGAGCTGGAACAATGTGATTATAGAAGAGAGGGATATGGGTCCTGTATGTATGTGGGAGGGGATTAGAAGAAACTTGATGGTGTTATATGCCCACAGAAGGAAAATGGTGGAGAGCTGGACATCTATGTTCACTGAGAAGATTGAGAATGAGCTAGATGAGACTACTGAAGAAGCATTGAAGTGGTCAGCAGAAAGTAATGGGAACGGACAATTTGAGGTGAGGTGGCACAGCCACCAAGTTGTGGTCAATCTGAAGAACAAGACATGTACATGTAGACATTGGGAGTTGACCGGCATTCCGTGCTCACATGCTATCACTGCAATCAGGAAGGCAAAGCTTCTGATCAAGGACCATGTTGCTGATTGCTACCTGCGAGAAACAGCGGCGAAGATATATGAGTTCTCCATTTCACCTACTAATGGCAAGGAGTATTGGCCAATTTCTGAGTTGGGGGATTGTGGAGTCCCTCCAGTTGCAAACTCGAAAAAGAGGGGCAGACCAAAGAAGCAGAGAAGAAAGGGACTTGATGAGGATGAGAAGGGGAAGAAAAAACAGAAGAAGAGTGAAAGGGAATCATCAAAGCCGGAAGGAAGGAAGTACGCTTGCACCACATGTGGGGTAGTTGGGCATACCAAACTGTTCCATAATGAAGAAAGGAAGAAACAGGTGGAGGAAAGGAGACAGGCTAAGGAACAGGCTAAGGAAGAAGCTAAAAGGGCGAAACAGCTCGAAAGAGCTGAAAAAAATAGATTGGCAACCATACAGAAGCAGAAACAGAGGGCTGCAAAAGCAGCAGCAAAAGCGCCACTGAGTCAGCCCAACACTGTCCAGCTCATGCCAGATGTAAGCATTTATTCAATTTTACAGTTTTGCTTTATAATCAAGTCCTACTATCTTCTAATGTTGTTTTAACTTCGCAGGGAACTACTAGGAGGCCACGAATTGAGGCATCACAGCAGTCCACACAAGGATGTGGAGGATCGCAAAATGTAAGCCAAGTGACTCAAGAGCACGAGTGAAGATTAGATGAAGTTTAGGTCCAAATGATAATTACCATTTTGAAGCCTCCAATTGGCTAGTAATGTAGACGTTGAATGTTGCTTTGTCGTATTAGATAGCCTATTAGATAATGGTGAATTGCTCTTTTGGAAAAACACTGTCCTCGAGACTATAATTATCATTTGGACCTTGTAAGACTAAGTTTTATGAATGACTATCAGGTTTATCAATCTTCCAGTACATTGGAAGGTTCTTTTGCACAAACAAGTTTCTTAGTTGTTCCATTCGTTCACCTACCTGTCAGTGACCAAACATGAAACTATTAAGCAATTCCAGTGACCAAACTTGAAAATATTAAGCAATTCCAGTGACCAAATATGAAGTGGATCAGCAATTCAAGTGACCAAACTTGAAACTATTAAGCAATTCAAGTGACCAAACATTAAATGGATAAGCAATTCAAGTGACCAAACATGTTTCGAATTAACAATTAAAGTGACCATACATGGAATGAATTAGCAATTCCAGTGACCTTACATAGAATAATACTGGCTTCCACATTGTCAACAACTAGATAGATCTCTCTACTACACAGACGCCTTATCACTTTCCTATCCAAAACAAAGAAAATACAATAGCTCCTAAAATGATGAACGACACCATTTTCCGATCAAACTTGGACACCTTCTTGTCTTGCCTCTTCTCTAGCTCCCGAATTCGACGATGAAAGTTTAGCAACACATTTCTCATATGCTCATCAAGGGCTGGGTCAAGCCATCTGAAGTAGTTACATGCTCCATTTGTCTACACACCATCAAACAGAAAAATAGAAGGATGAAAAAGGCGGCATAATAGTCGAATCGTAACATTAAAAAGGAAACAAAGGTGGATGAACCTTACCCCATATCTGCTGCATCCATAAAACCTTCTTCCTGGATTCGCCTCAGTCCAGCTCGTCTTCAGATCTGTTGGCTCTCCACAGTGACAGAAGGGAGTCGCCATTGTTAGAGGTGAAGTGGGAGGAGGAGGAAAGGAAGAGGTGGATGGGGATGGGGTGATTCTCGCGCAGAGTAAAGAGGAAGAGATGGTTAGGGATTCACTTCAGAGGGGTAGACTTATACAAGGGGGCTAGATTCAGGGGGGTTGGGTCACTGGTTTGGGTTTAGGATCAGTTAATTGGGTCTGGTTCGCGGGTTTGGGCAAGAATGGCTGACTGGGCGGGTAAGGGTGAGCTGGCGGGTCGGGTTGTCTTTTTTTAATGTTTAAATGTGCTGACTGTGTCTTTCTGTTAGCCACGTCATCACTTAACGGTCGTCATTAACGGAGGTTAACGAAGAGTGACCATACTTGGACTGTTCAACTAATTCGAGTGACTATAAATGGAATAAATCAATTCGGATGGCAAACGTGAAATTTTTAAGCAATTCGAGTGACCAAACTTGCAATTAAGCCATAAAAAAACAAACGACCCCTAGTGTAAAAGTTGCATCAATTACAGCGACTCAGTCTGTTTAGAGTTGAAGCAATCCAGTAGTTTTTATCTGTGTATACGACAAAGCCAGAAAACAAGCAGCCACGCTAACACCCAGTAACGTCTGCGGTTTGTCTCGCAAAAGTCCAAAACCTTTCCCTACCAACACAAGTTCGAGACATCTGCTCCACCGCAAACCTCTCTCTCTCCCCCGACAGAGTCATCTGAGGATAAGGGAATCCAAAAATCCAACGACACCCTCCCGTTCTCCACCTCACTTCCCTCTTCTTCTTCTTCTTCTTCTTCCTCCTTGTTCCTCTTGGGCTCATATGGCAGTTGCTTTTTCTGGGCAGCCCTTTTCTTCTTGTGCCCAATAAATGCTTAGCAATGGAGTCTCGAAGAAGACTCGCCATTCTTTGCTCCCACCTACTCCCCTCTTCTGCTTCACCTGTTGCTTCCTCCCAATCACAGTTTCTGTCTCCTTGTAATTCTTCTTCTGATTCTAATTTTATGATGGGCTCCGGCGGTGGTGCTGGCGGCGAAAAACAGAGGGACCAAGATTGTGTCTTTTGCTCTATTGTTCGCGGCCAATCTTCGGCCTTCAAAGTAATTTGAATCCACCAACTCCCTAATTGAAAATTTTGAATCTTTTTGGAGTGGGGTTTAATGGGTTCTCAAGGGTTTTATTGGTTTGCCTCCGGATTTTGCAGCTTTACGAAGATGATTCTTGCCTCTGTATTTTGGATCGAAACCCGTTGAGTCATGGGTAAGGTATATTTGCCTGAATCAATATTTGTAGTAGAGCTTCATCTGGATTCATTCTAAATTTCTAATCCATGCATGCTTTTAATGTTGATGTACTTGCAAATGTAAATGAGAGAGTACTTAAGCATTTTGCTTGCAGCTTTTGTCACCACTTCAGCCTGAATTTGCTTATTTGGTTTCATGCTTGGCTTGCTTTCTTAGGCATTCCCTTATTATACCAAAGGCTCACTTTTCTACCTTGGAGTCAACCCCTCCATCTGTAAGTACTCTGGAACTTTATTAACAAGTCCATATGATGATGGGTGATGCAAATGTGCATGCAGCAAATTAGCATTCAGTTCACTACTCCCACTGTGTTTTTCCTGCTTGAATGCCTTTCGTTAACTATAAATACCCATAGAAATGAGTAGACTAATGGATATAACGATTCCTTTCTAGTGGCACCGTAGGATTTCCATATACGGGCTCATTCTGGAATCTAACTCCCTGCGTTGATCTAACTTGTTAGTTGTGTTTATGGCAAGTTGGTGCCTTCACTCATCACTGAGCTGCGTCATTAGAATATTTTAGTGATCTAGGGGGTGCTTTCTTCTTGGTGTGTCTTCTGAGGTGCTGTATTTATCAATCCTGCAGTTGGTGGCAGCAATGTGTTCAAAGGCACCTTTTATTGCGAATGCTCTAATGAAGGCCACTGGCTCTGGTAATACCTTCGACACAACCTATTGCATATGTTCTCTCCTGGACCATAATCTCTCTTTTTCGTTGGATCCTGTTTGCTGCGTTTCTCTGTGTTTATCTCGTTGCAGTCCCTGAGGATGCATATATTTGTAGCTTGCCTTTGAATCAGAAAGACTATGTGCCCTTGCCTCCATCTACGAACACGAGTTCATAAAACTTATTGAAGTTATTTCTACATTGTAGGGAGAACTGCTAGCTCGTTAAACCTGTAAAACAATGAAACTTAAGCAAGCTGGTTCTTCTGTAAAACTTATTGAAGTTCTTATATCTCGTCTGTGTCCACTTGTATGAACCTATGTCTGGTTGAAAAGCTCTCTGGATCTTTATTTGTGCCTATGTAGATAGATAGATAGCCAACTATTCTAAGCATCCACATTGAAGAGCTATTAATATCTACTTTCTATTATTTGCAGATTCATTCAACATGCTAGTGAATAACGGGGCAGCTGCAGGGCAAGTTATATACCATGTGAGTTGATTCCACATACCTTCTCATTTTCTGCCATTTCTCACAGATTGTTTGACCTCCGTATTCAAAATCCTCTGCAGACACATATCCATATAATCCCACGCAAGACAAACGATTGCTTGTGGACAACTGAGGTATTACAGTCACCCACCTGTGCTTTACATATTCTTCTTGTACATTCAAAAGCATTGTATACTTCATGGAATGTGGGAATCAAATGGTGGTTGTTACTTTTCCAGAGCTTGCCAAGGTATCCCATAATCTTCGATCAGGAAGCTTCCCGTCTCGTTTCATCCATCCGAGAGCAGCTGACAAACGTTTATGGTGATTACAAGGGCCAGGAATCAGGGCTATCTCGATTCTCTCTCTGACCCTGGAAGAGCAGAACAGATGCCGCCGTTGATGATGTTGCACATGTTGGCTTACAAACAGAGTTACAACTTACAAGTTACGATGTACCATAAACAAACGGGAGAATGTATACTCTCAATTCTCAAAGTGTGTTCGTTGAGAAATGAGAATCCTCAAGGATCAAACCGTTCACTGGACTTGTAAGACTGTTTTTCAACATTCATAGTTTCATACCAGCCAAATCTTGTAAAAACAATCAGCTTCCTAATGATCTCGTTTGAAAGGAAAGGACACTGCAAAACGGTGCCGTATGTGAAGAGGTAACAGCTAGGGAAACGGAAAGATCCCACCTCCTATACAGATTCGGACTGGTCGGAGTGAACTCTGCTTCTCCTTTTCCGACGAGAAATCGGCAACAAAATCAGTGGCTATAAAAAGACCCGACCCCCGACTAACGAAAACCCAATTGCAAACTCGCACTCAGATTAGCAAAGGAGAAGGGCAAGAAGAAATCACCAACCCCCCTTGTCAGGTTCGATCGGCAGCTGAAAAAGATGCAGGTCTTCGTGAAAACGCTCACCGGGAAGACGATTACTCTGGAGGTGGAGAGCAGCGACACCGTGGACAATGTCAAGTCCAAGATTCAGGACAAGGAAGGGATTCCGGCCGACCAGCAGCGCCTGATTTTCGCCGGGAAGCAGCTGGAAGACGGCAGAACTCTGGGCGATTACAACATTCAGAAGGAATCGACGCTTCACTTGGTTCTGAGGCTCAGGGGAGGGACGATGATCAAAGTGAAGACGCTGACGGGGAAAGAGATTGGTGTCGACGTGGACTTGAACGACACGGTTGCAGGGATAAAGGTGAAAGTGGAGGAGGTGGAAGGAATCCCGCCGAACCAGCAGCGGCTGATCTTCAAAGGAAAGCAGATGGCGGATGACAAGACGGGGAAGGATTACCAAATTGAAACCGGCGACGTTCTTCATCTCGTTCTTGCACTCAGGGGCGGCGCTGCCGGCGGAAGTACGGTTGGGTTTAATTAGTTGGGCTTGGGCCATGGTGCCGGATCGGGGTTTTTATTTTTTCTCTCTTATTTGCATATGGGCTTTTGTTCAATCATTTTTTATTTGTCTGTGGGAAAACTCTGTAATTTTGAAGGATACGTTTTGTGATTTTTTCTTTACGTAGGGAAAGGATGTTTTGTTATGATTTCCTAAACTTGTAATGGATTTAATTCTGTCACATTAGTTCAAAGGGAATTTCTATTATACCAAGCTGGCGACGAACATTAAAATTTACCTAACAAGAAATATAGTAAAATGAAATTGTCCTGAGCAGAATGCTCCATATTTGTTACTTATACAACCACAAATTGGAGGCAAATATTTTACCTCAGTCAAAGAGATGAACCAAATTCGAAGGAAGCATTATCAGACTGTTTCTCTTACCTATGTACACTTCCATTTTTGCCTCCCTTTCCTCCCCACCCTAAATTACTCTCTGTGTCTTTCCGGTACATATGCATGAATGCAATTTGTAAGTATATACACACAAGCTATAATTCCTAACAAGGAATATGAACAAGGAAGAAGAAGAAGAAGAGGAAATACTAGAAGGAACAAATGAATCAACCGGCAATGGACATGTCGACTCTCATCCAGCCGGACCTAGACTGCGAACGGCCCCATTCCTGGCAGTGAGTTTTACAGAAGAAACGGCTAAAGGTCCTAACCAATGTCCTAACAGTGAGCGGTTGCTTCACATGTAGGAAACCTCCCTTCCATGACTTCTTAAAATTGACAAAGGATGGTTGCTCACTGGCATATTACTGATAACTTGCTTGTTGATGGACAGTGTCTCAATCATCGTCCTTGTGCCTTGGAGGGTTGGCAGTATATCAAATCTTCTAGCAGCAGGCTTTCTGGGCGCTTGTGGTTTATCCTGTAGAATCGCAGCAGGGGAAATTAGCAGTAGCTCTTCGGCTCATGATACTACGTAGAAAGTAGAGGCTGGTTCCGATTAACAGAACTGGAAAACCGCAAATTGGTAAGGGGTAGCTCATTCCAAAACCCTAACCAAAGTGCCAATGGCACCGGCCAGAACCACAAATCCTAATGGCTAACCGGAAACGTGAAGTGAATTCAGAGAGAGAGAGAGAGAGGAAGAAAAAAACCCAGAAACCAATTATGCAAACCAGGAAACCACTAATATAAAACCCTGAAATCTCTACAAGTCCATTTATTAGGTTTGGTTTTCTGGATCAAAACCGGTTAAGCACCCTAAGTTTGTTTAAACGAGAAGCTAGGTTCCGCTGATACTTACCATAAGCATTGCGAAAGAGGGTGCTGGAGAGCTGGTTGTTCCGTTGAGATCACTTGAATAACCTGTCACAAAAGGATGTTCAAGCAGGGCAAGAGCGGTTGGTCTGTCAGCCGGGTTTCTACGGAAGCAGCTCAAAAGGAAATCTTTTCCCTCAGCAGATAAAGCTTCTGGAATTGGCGGAGATTTGTTCAACACCTTGAACATTGCCTGAGGCTGAAACAAGAAGAGATACAAAATAGGCATACATGATCCAACTGAGAAAGTGAGATCACCTAATGCAATGAGCCAGTAAAGGCGGAATTATTTTTCAGCTACGGGCTTACTTACCCCTTGAAGTTCACCCCATGGAGGTTTACCGGTGAACATCTCAATTACAGTACAACCCAAGCTCCATATATCAACTGCAAACGCAAGATCAGGACTGCCGTCTTTCTGCATCACAGCTTGTATGACCTGTAACAAAGAAAAATATAAAAACACTTTAGCAAGAAAAGAAAGCAACAGTGGGCCACAAAAAGGAAATAGACAAAATCGAATGAAGGTGGATTAGTACCTCTGGAGCCATCCAATGGGGAGTGCCTTTCAGCGACAACTGATATGAGATGCCTGCAAGCTGAAACGACTAGTGTTCAAACATGCGACACAGAAAATGAAAGACACAATGTGAACAATTGATTATCAAGAGGCTCACATGTTTTGCCATCCCAAAATCCGCAAGCTTAACAATGCCCGATGCATCAACTAGCAAATTTGCACCTTTAATATCCCTGTACACAATCCTCTATTAATTACAGATGCTAACTGTGAACTGATTAGGCACACAATCACACAACAAAACTATTATCACCTGTGGATAGTCTTTGTCCCGTGTAAGAAAGCCAATCCAGATAGAATATGACGGGTGAAGTTGCGGACAATAGATTCTGTAATATCTTCACAATGCTCCTGGAGATATTTGCTGATTGACCCAGGATACACGTACTCTAGATATATGTTGAAGTGATCATCAACCTGAAAACCACCAAGCAATCTCCTAATTGAACCGAGGACTTCCAGAAATGGAAACATAGCACGAGCTGAAAGGACACCTACCGTCTCACTGCCCAAATACTGTACTATGTTTGGATGCTTCAGATGCCGAAGAACTTTAATTTCCTGCAGCAAGCAGCGGAAAATCAGAAAATGATGAAATCTAACTCCATCAATGGCAGCTTCCATTGTTGTTAAAATGGTTAGCCAGACGATTAAAAGTGTAACATGCCATCATTCAAAGGAAAGTAGGCGACGTTCTATCATCCAAATTCCAAACGACTCCTAAGAGATGGCATTACCAAAGAGGACATGCTTGGACCTCAAGCTTTCTGACCAAGTGATGCAAGGTTAGGAGTTCAGGAAACAAACCTGCTCTAACTGCTTCACACATTCGGCAGACTTGGGATCATCAGGGATAATGTCAACTTCCTTAATAGCACACAGAGCTCCAGTATCCCTGTCAAACATATCAATGACCATCACCGCACTGCCAAAAATAACAAGTCAAGACACAAGATTGACAAGGCCAGGTATAGTTCAAACTTCAAACCTGTTGGTTCCCACATAAACACTTCCATATGTACCACGACCAATAAGCTTCCCTTTCTGCCATTGATTCCTTCTCGGGGGAGTAGGCGTCTTTTCAAGCGTAGCTCGTGGAGATCTACAGGGTGATGGATTATACGACTGTGGTGGAGATGCAGCCACCGAAGGAGGCGGCAAGGGCAACGGGCAAGGATTGAGCTGATTGATGCTGCCTTCATATGTTTGGTGCCATGGAACTGGAGATTTGGAGGGACTCCTTGGGTAAGGGAACGATTTCTGTAATGTTGGGCTCGGGAGTGGGGAAACATCAGGGCTAGATTGCGCACGTTTCACCAATGACGATGGTGAGATGTTACCAGATGGCCTGAACTCTGGAACCTCAAAATCGGAATGGAAATGGACTTCGTCAGGACACGGCAAACAATTCCCAGCAGCCGTTAACCTATGTGGACTGACTGCACGACTAGAGCAACTTGAAGAAGTGCTCTGTGGAGAATGAACGGAACCAGACTTGCAGGAAAGGCAGACGTTCAGATCTTTGGGCAGCTCCTTCCGGCGGTTGCTGAGAGATATCAATGGCGGTTCTGTGGCGAGCCGAGAAGGGAAAAGATTCGCGAAATAGCTGGTGGATGAGCTCCTCGGCAACAAATTGATTTCGTGGCAATTGCTCGAGGATCTCGAAGCTGGCCTGCTGGCGATCTCGTTCTGATCACTGTTTGTTCGTAATTAGGGTTTTATACAAACGAAGGAAAAATTCGAGCTAGAAAGTTGATCAATGAACAAATTGAAGAGAGAATTCTTACTTCCTTGAAGACGAGCTCTTCCCGCTGCCGTTCGGTGACCGGAGGGGCGAATCTGGCCTCCTGCTCAAGGTACGAACGGGCGACTCTGGCCTCCTACTCAAGAACGAATCAGGACGCGGCAGCGGTTGCGGTAAGGGTGATACAGACCGACGGTCCGAATTACCCGGCGAAGATCTCGCCTTGGCGATGAAATCCGGCGACTCCGGCGGCGAGTAACGGCTGCGGTTTAGCGTGATGATCTCTTGGTCGCTGGAATGCCGGACCTTTCTGGAGGAGAAACAGAGAAGTGAACAGTTAGAGAAAATAAATCAATATATTATTAAAATTACAGGAAAATTAACGAGAAAAACCGAGTCGGAGCCCCACCCGCGGGAGGAAGAGAACGGGATTTTGTCCGGCGACCCGATGTTGTGACCCGACCCCAAATTTGGACCCGCAGACTGCAGCCTCCTGTGGAAACGACGATGTGGCAGCGGTAACGGTTGGGGCACCGGGAAGTACCGCCCCGACCCGTCGCCCGGAGGAGACGGCGGCTTCTCCGAGGAATCCGGCGACACCGGTTGCGAATTAGAACAACGCCGTTCGGTCAACATCGTCGGCAGCTCATCGGTGCCGAGATGCCGCAGCTTCCTCTGCCTCGTAAGCCTCTTCTGCGTAAACGACCGTCCACGGTGCCGAAACAAATTCCCGCCTCCGCCGATCTGGTTCCCGAAATCCGAGGAAACAGAGCAGCGGTGGAAAGAGTTGTGACGAGGGGGAACGGGAAGAGAATCGAAATTCGGCAGCGTCGGCGGCGGTAAATCCTTCAGACCGCCTTCGCAGGACGACGAATTGACGAAATCAACAGAAGCGCAACCGCCTCTCCGCCTTCTCAATTGGTGGTGCCTCACATTCGTCCCCGGCGGCGACAGTCTGGTGGCGGATTCTCCCTCTTTACCTTCATCGTCGGCATCGCCGCGATCAGAGGGCTCGAACCCAAGATTCATGTAGTCTGTGGCCATGGTTTCACTCTGCTCGAAGCTCGCAGAGTGGGTATTGTTGGGTTTCCCGGCGAAAAACAGAGGCCATTTTTGTTTACAGTAGATTTTTCTCTGACTGTTGTAAAATGAACGACTTAAACACAGAGAAACAGTGTCAAAGGGTAATAAGGTTGGTTGACAATTCGCCGTGTGCGTTAGGGGGAAAGAAGGTTGAGTCTTGGTCGTCTCTGAAGCGGAAGCAGAGAGGCGGGCGCATTGCAGGACTTCAGAGAAAAAATTCAGGGGGGCGACGTTTCTCTTCCCCCTTCCTTTTTTCTCTCTGTTGTGGTTCTCTGAGTCCGGCCTTTCTACATTCTACAGTTGCTACACGATAGTTTCCATAACAAAACCATTGTTGGTCCCTCTTTGTCTTCTCCGAATTGTGCTTTGTCTTGTTCGTCCTTTAAGAGGAAGATGCCTTGTTCTTCCTTGTAATAAAAAGTTTGTAAAGTTTATTCATGTTTTCCCTAATATTCAGTTAAGAATTCATTAATTATATTCGTCTTTAATTAATCAAAAGTATATTGGAATGAAAGAGATGGTTCCTCACAAAAAATAAATTAACGTTAGTATCAATTAAAATCTTTGCTTTAAGAACATAAACAGGTGTTAAATTCTGATCTCCACCGTCTTGATCAAACTAGACAAACTTTGGTTTCATTTGCAGTGCCTTCGATTCTTCGTTTACATCTTCTCGGATATATTCAAAATAAAAGCAATTGAAAATCAAGTCCCAATTAAATGCTAGAATCTAGCAAATTCTAAATGAATATACTAATGTAGAGACCATTATTTTATTTTAGTTTGGTTAGCGCCATCATTATTGTTCCTACCTTGTGTTTTTTATTCTGACTTTAAGATCATCTAGGTCATTCAGAAAATAAATTGTTGGGTGATTTTACCAAAATACAAGAGTTTAACAATGCCAACTATCTCTTTGTGGTGTGTATTGACAATCGAGATTACGGTAAAGCTTTTCTTATTATGAGTGATATTGTACTTGATTCATCTTAAGTTTTATATTAATGATACATACATCTAATCGATATGAAACGAGAGAAAAATATGAAGAAATTCACAAGTAAAAATATGCAACTAACTAACTTGTATGGTAGTAAAACCTTAAAAAAAGGTTAAAAGGAAATTAAAAATCCAAGAAATGAGGGTATAGAATCTAGTGTATGCAAAATCGTTTTGTAGCGCCGTTCGACTGAAAAATAGTTCACAGGGTGGTTCAAACTTTTATGTCGCTAACACCTAGCAGTATAAAAAATGAAATGCTGTTAAACCACAGTTTCAACACAAAATATCATACGAATGACAAACCAAAGTGCTCCACATAACACTCTCTCTCTTTCAATTTCTCTTTCCCTATCAGTTTTAAATGACTCATTTCGTTTTCATTTCAACTCAAATTTTTTCCACATAAAACTTTCATTTAATGAGATTAATAAATTACACCCACTTTTGTATATTTTGAAGAAAAAAATTCATGTCATCAAGGACGTACTCTTACACAAGTGACTTACCAGGCACTGCAATTATACATCATCTAGTTGTTTTTTTTTTATCAAATTCAATTTGGTTAATTTGGTTAACTTGTTTTTTTTTTTCTCGCAAAGTCAGTGTTGAAAAGATAGTGACAAGGAGGAAGACAGAAAAACGCGGGAGTTGACCAATAGTTGAACTCCCAATGAGAGGGCCTTTTGTGCCATATGATGGGCCTTTGGTTAACTTGTTTAATTATTTAAAAGTAGTTCGCAATGGGTTAAATTTAAGTGGACTACTTTAGTCATGTACTCATGTACTCTACTAACTAGGCAAATCAATTGACCAAATATCCTTTATAGCAAATAAGCATTGGTGCAAGAGGTGGCGAATGGACTGGATTGATGGATTCATGAATTAAATGGATTGGTGGATCCATGGATTAAATGGATTGGTGGATCTATGGATTAAATGGATTGGTGGATTCACAGATTGGAACAAGTGAATTGATGGATTATCCATGAATCCAAATGACATCTTCAACCAAGGGCCAATATGTAAAATGTGAAAAGTTTAGGTACTAAAATGTCATAATAAAAAATTTAGGTACCAAAACGTAATTTTCCAAAGATAATTTTCGTATAAAAAATTAAATTTTGGGTACCAAAATATAAAATATAAAAAGTATAGGTACCAAACCGTAATTTACCATTTGGATTCGTGGATCAATCCATGAATCCACCAATCCAATTGGATTTGGATCAAATGGATTGGATTAGGTAAATATTTTTAATGGGTTGGTGGATTGGATTGGTGGATTGGATTGAGAATTGCCACCTCTAGTGCAAATGTTTAACCTACCTCCTCGTATGTGCAAAAGCCAAAAAAACTACATAGATTGGTAAGTAAAAAAAAGATTATTTTAACTCGGTACACTAAATAGACTTAAATAAATTAAATCATATAAATTTCATAATAACACGTCAATGTGAAGTGGAACGAAGAGGTTTAAAAGGGAAAACCAATAATTAAGTTGTACATCTAATAAATCATATAAACAATCTATTTTTCTCATACCACATTTCTAAATTTATTATGTACAATTTGCTGTAATAATAATCCATATAAATTGTGACACAAATCGCAAAGAGTTTTGATTTCTTTTATGGATTGATCATTTATAAAAAAAATGAAATATTTATAACTTATAATTAACTAATATTTTCAAGTGGATTACCGTTTCAGAAATTGATATTGCATAGAGTAAAGCCGTTCTTTTAATTTTTGGAATCAAACTGTCTCTTATAAAAAATCTAATTTTTTGTAACTAAAAATACAATTTTCTTGTCTTGAATTATTTTAAAAAAATATTAATTGTTGTGTTTTCACTTCTCAATCTCAAGTTCAGTTCTCCGGACTTCGGCGAGTGGGCCCAAACTGATGCTACGCCTAAGTTGGGCCTGTCGGGCTCTTCTTCACAACGGGCCCAAAGCTTGATCCGTTCCTACTTTCTACAGAGTACAGACCTACGCCCCGAGCGAGCGAGCGAGAGGTTGAGGTTGAAATGAGAGTGTCGTTCTCTGTAACTTTGTTGGCTAACAATGGTGTTCTGTTCACCCAATATATGGATTAGGATTATGATGGTGGCTTGGGGAGACGTGGCAAAGATATGCATGAAGCATGTGAATCCGACCGGCGATTTCATCAGTGTTTCAGAACTCCTGGGAAGTTATTCAAAGAGTGACGACAAAGAAGGTTATGATCAACAATCCCAAGGTTTGTAAAACCCTAATTACAATGTCTACGACAATTTTGTTGGGTTGGTCCAACTCAGACGGTGGTTGGATCATTCTCTGATTTGGTTTGGGTTATGGTTGGTTTCTAAAAGATCCTCTATTATTAAAATAGAGAGATTTATTGTCTGGTCAAAAGTGAAAAGAGGATACAGCCTTTCATTTTCTGGATAGAGAATCAGATAAAGAAAGAGAGAAAGATAAGATTGAAGAGAGAAGAAAGAAAGATGTAGGGATGTGTGTAATCATCTAGCTAGTTAGTTTAGAGAGGACATGTATTTCCATCAAAGTATAGTGAAATTGGTTGGACAAAGATCTCATGATTTTCCACATAAAAATAATGTGTCTTGTGCATTAGGTTCTTGCTTGTTGTTTTTTTTTTTTTTGACAAGGTTTCTTCTTGCTTGTTGTTGATGCTCGTTTCTCAACAAATTTTGATGCTTGCTGTTTTCCAAGTTAATTGTATACTATTGATTTCATGAGTTGCTACTCGATGACAACCAATTAGAGCATGCCGGTTTAGGCTATAGAATCTAATCAGCCATTAGTTAGACTGAGAGGGCTTGGTCAGCTTAAGAGATTCCAAGCTACTGTCGGATCTTCCGCAGTCTAATCAACAGTAAATCAACCCAGGGAATTGCAATTGAACCTAACTAAGGGGCTAGGGGGACTCAATCCCGAGTGACTCTTGCCTGCTTTAGAAACCCGAACAATTTACTGCTTTCTTGTTGCTTTTACTTTTCACAACAATCACCCGAACTAGTTTGCTAGATAATAGAGAATCACGGAGTAAGCAGTAGATCTAGACCCCGGGTTGATAATTAAACTTGCCTGTTACTGCATTCCCGGACTGCGATTACACTTGGTCGCAGTTTGGTGTTGTGTTTTGGCGTGTCACATAACGTAAACCTATCGACTAATAAAGAGTGCATCACCTACATGATTCGTTTTCCAGAGCACTTTGTATACAGAGCATAGACTTAACTGCTTGGATTAAAGGATCATCTGTTGACTCCGCGAGTCATAATAATCACATCCTAGCTTTGTTCTGTAGGAAAAAAATTGATAAATATCAGAGGGGGAATGTGCCATTTGAGAATTGAAGTGAAGAAAGTGCAAAGCCAACCAAGAGGCGAGAGCAGAACCACAGATGACGAATCGAGCATTACCTCTCCACGGCAGAGTCTTCTTATCTCCCAACAATTTCACAATCTACAGTTGTGGGGAAATAGACAGGACCCTAAGAAACCAAGCAAGTAGTAGAGGAAACTGGCAACCCCATGTTACATTTTTTCTGTTCTGTCATCCCACGCGTGCTCTCTTGCAACTCGATTCTCTCATCGCCAACTGCTAGATCTGAGAAAGAAATCAAAGAACCCTTTTAAGAGAAAAAGAACCATTTAAGAACAGGGTAAAAACAGATTCATCAGAAGAGAGGAGTTAAATCACCTGGAAATTTAAAAAGAACCTGTCGATGGGGGGCTTTCTGATTCCTCTCCTACCCCTATCGTCCATCTCTTGTTTGCTTCCTACTCCAACGCAGAAAAAAAGAGAGAGAGAGGAGAGAGTAAGAGGAGAGGAGAGGAGGAGATATGCGCGGACCCCTCCCTGATCCGCCATTGATTGCTTCGATTCTCTGATCGCCTAAAAACCCAGAAGAACAGAATCAACAGAGGTGATGAGAAAGCATACAGAGATAATAAGTGAGAGGAGGAAAGTTTAAAGGAGAGTGGTTCGAAAGCAATGAAAGCAAGAGAGACCATCTTCGGATCTTCTGTGAGCGGGTGGAAATAAAGATCGATGCAGAAGTGGTTCCTTCTTCCTCTTCCTCATTCTTAAAGCGGCAAAGAGAGATCCCTTATCTCCACCCGAACCTAGCTCTCCATTCTTTTCTCGGCAGGGATGAGGAAGACGGAGATTATGTGAACTGCTCTTCAGATCGGTAGTGCGAATCATTCAAAAAATGAATCGATTCTGTTAAACCCACCTCCAAGGAATCGATTGCAGAGAGGAGAATATGCAAATAACAACCACAAAAGAGAAGAAACGGTTAGATCGAAAACTGAAGATAGAGAGCGAAACCAAGGCTTAAAAGAGAGAGAAAGTACTCACTTTTCGATCACCTGGGTCTTCCCATTGCAAAGAAAGAGGGAACATCAGTTTAGAAGAGAGGTAGAGAGAGATGAGGAAGATGGGATTCATGTGAAAGATTGGAGCCAGATGAAGGAGAGGGAGTCATTTTGAGAGTGCAGAATAGAGGGACAAAGACATGACTGTTGTACGTTGCCGACCTCGCCACCTTCCGATCCCCACCAACATCGTCGCTCACACCTTTTCTCCTCTCCGTCCAAAGAAATAAGACACAGAAAAATAGGATCGTCGTCGATCGAGGCTCCTAACGGATCTCCTTCTTCGGCAAGCTGCTGCTTCATCGCGGTTTTCGGAGTTTCTGGCGATCGCAAAGAGAGAAAGAGAGTTCGTCGGAGATGGATCGGTGAGAGAAGGATAAGAAGGTGAAAAGAGGTCAGAGAAGGAGAAGAGTTGGGAAAGATGGCGGAGAAAACAGAGAGAGAAAGTGAAAAGGAAGAGGGGTTTCTGATATTTCTGCCAGCACCGGTTTTTGACCCTCTCCCCTCTCAGACTAATTGATCAGAAAAGGCTTCCTCTTGATCCCTGACATCTCGAGACCTCCACCCATTTTTTTGTATAGCAGGCTGAGTCAAATCTGTGTCTCGTACCATCAGCCCTGAGAGAGAAGAAGGTCTGCGAGAAAAGACAGAGAGAGAGAGAGAGGAGGATCTCTAACCAGATCCGCGGACAACGTGCTCTCCTTTGCAAAGCAGCGAGAATAAGATCCGGTCCAAGCTAAATAATCTCGCAAAAACCCCCCGGCCCAACCGCAACACAGTGAGAAAACCAGCGGGGCCCACGCACAGGTAAACAACCAATCAGGGTAGACTGCACAGTAAATTTAGGTCTAAATGAATAGTAATCTCAGTCTATGTGCACAGTAGGAGCTGTGTCTTTGGAAATAATTCTCTTTAATAAACAATCTATTTTTCTCATACCACATTTCTAAATTTATCATATGTATAATTTGAAGTAATAATAATCCATATAAATTGTGACACAAATCGCTAAAAGTTTTGATTTCTTTTATGGATTGATCATTTATAAAAAATGAAATATTTATAACTTATAATTAACTAATATTTTCAAGTGGATTGCCGTTTCAGAAATTGATATTGCATAGACTAAAGCCGTCCTTTTATTTTTTGGAATCATACTGTCTCTTATAAAAAATCTAATTTTTTGTAACTAAAAATACAATTTTCTTGTTTTGAATGATTTTTGAAAAAATTATGTTTTCACTTCTCAATCTCAAGTTAAGTTCTTTGGACTTCGGTTAGTGGTCCGAAACTTAATATAGTTTTCTAGAGAGACGATTAATGAATAATGATTTATATTTTTGTTAACCGATGGTCTAGACCTAAGTTGGGCCTGTCGGGCTCTTCTTCACAACGGGCCCAAAGCTTGATCCGTTTCTACTTTCTGCAGACCTACGCCCCGAGCGAGCGAGAGGGAGAGGCTGAAATGAGCGTGTCGTTCTCTGTAACTTTGTTGGCTAACAATGGTGTTCTGTTCACCCAATATATGGATTAGGATTATGATGGTGGCAAAGATATGCATGAAGATGAAGCATGTGAATCCGGCCGGCGATTCCATCAGTGTTTCAGGACTCCTGGGATTGGGAAGTTATTCAAAGAGTGGCGACAAAGAAGGTTATGATCAACAATCCCAAGGTTTGTAAAACCCTAATTACAATGTCTACTACAATTTTGTTGGGTTGGTCCAACTCAAACGGTGGTTGGATCATTCTCTGACTTGATTTGGGTTATGGTTAGTTTCTAAAAGATCTTCTATTATTAAAATAGAGAGATTTATTGTCTCGTCAAAAGTGAAAAGATGATACAGCCTTTCATTTTCTGGATAGAGAATCAAATAAAGAAAGAGAAAAAAATAAGATAGAAGAGAGAAGAAAGAAAGATGTAGGGGTGTTTGTAATCATCTAACTAGCTAGTTTAGAGAGGACTTGTAATCCCACCAAAGTATAGTGAAGTTGTTTGGACAAAGATCTCATGATTTTCCACACAAAAATCACGCGTCTTGTGCATTAGGTTCTTGCTTGTTGTTGATGCCCGTTTCTCAACAAATTTTGATGCTTGCTGTTTTCCTAAGTTAATTTTCTACTATTCATTTCATGAGTTGCTACTCGACGACAACCATTACAGCATGCCTGTATAGGCTTTAGAATGTAATCAGCCATTAATTACAAGTGACTTATTCGTTGATCTTTGTGTCTATATGTGTGATACAATAACTGTAAGTAAGGAAGCATTATTCTTGAGGAATGAGTGCCGTTGTTGATTCGTCATGATTAATGCCATCGGATGTTTCAAACGGCAACTGGATACTTCTCTTCCAGAGCATTCCTCTTTTTCGCATTCATGCCTTTTCCCACTCTCTGCTTGTTTTGTTGTTCATGGATCCTTTTACCAATCATGTAGAGCCCACATGGAACTTTGGCAAAATCATCTCTAGGAACAGTTTTTCCTCAACCAAGAGAGGAAACTGCTCCAGCTACTCGATTCACAAAAGGCAGAGCAAGATCAGAGAAATGTTGCACAAGGAACTGACATCATTGAAGGTGGGTCCAAGAATGCCCTCTATTTGTGGCAAGTCTTCGATTTTAAACACGAGTGGATACCGGTGAGGCTCTGTGGATCCGGCGAGATCATCCACAGTGGGTGAGGATAGTGGGGGCTATACCCATGGAGGCCCATGATTTGAACCTAAGGCCCATATATCTCAGAATACCAGGGCTTCGAAACAACTGTGTAGTTCTGTGGATCTGAACCAAAGGCTCGTACCGAATAATACTGAAATATAAGTTAGTGTGTATTTTATCCTCTTAATTAGACTCTCACATTCACTACTGCACGACCCTCAACCACCAAACTATTGTTATATTCATAACACCAAAAAGCAAACACTAGTATTAGTCTTCTCTCAACCTCCAATTCGTCAAATTAAAGATTACCAATGTCAAAAACTTGAGATGTCACCTCTACTCCATTCTCCTTACCCATATCCTAGCTCTAGCCAAACTAAAGAGTCTTTGTTTAGTCACTTTGTCCTATATTAAACAATCAAATCTAGAGTCTTTGTTTAGTCACTGGTTTGATTTCGTTGGGTTTGGGGTGTTGTTTGTAGCCTTCGTTTTGGCTGTGGTGTTCCCCTTTGCCTTTTCTTTCTTTCTTTCTTTTGCTTCTCGCTGCTCTTCCTCTCTTGGATCAGCAGCTGTTAACTCTTGTTTGTTTTCCTTAATATATTTCACCTTTATCAAAAAAAAAAATTTATATATTTGATTATTAATTGTAAAGGTAATTAATTTTGTATTCGATAATACCGATTAGAATACCGAAGTACCGATTCGGATACCAAAATATTTAGGGATTGGGATACCGAAATTATTTAGGGATTGAGATTGATTTTAGGGTGTAATTCGGTATTTGATATTGAGATACCGATACCGTACCGATTTCCATTCCTAACTAGAAGTTACAACAAAAATACAAACTGTGGCTATAAAAAATCAACTGGCACAAAACTCAAACTGTAGCAGAACAAGTAAGAAAAACACCTCTGAAACTGAAAGGTACAAAACTAACTCTTATGCTGTTCATCTAATTTAACAGGAATTTTATGGCACCGTATTGACACTAGGGGCGGAGTGAGAAATTTTATATAGGGGTGTATTTTTTGAAAAAAATTAAAATATAAAAAATTATTAAATACTTATTAAAAAAGAAAATACCTAACTCTTAGAAGTTAAAAAAGTATGTATTTTCATATTCTGGAAAAATTGTAAAATACAATTGGTGTCTATATTGCTTAACAAATTTGTCTAGGTATATCCTACTAGACAATCATTGACGAATTGACGCATATTTGACTTCTAAATTTGTTCTTGATGTCTCAAAGCTGAAAATACACTTTCAACACTTGTCGTACAACCATAAAATCAATACAAATTAATGGTAGCTTTTAATTAGATTAATTGTTAGGTTTTGAAAATAAATAAAGTTAGAGAATAGGATTTTGCTATTACACTGTGTTTAGAATAGAACAACAAAAAAGTTTAGCATAATGGAAATTATATTTATTAATAATAGTAGTGTCAAGTGTTTAGAATAGAACAACGAAAAAGTTTAGCCTCATGGAGATTATATTTATTAATAATAATAGTGTCCCGGGTTTGAATTACTTAAATTACCACTTATATTCTCATATGCAAACTACAAACGAAAGTAGGATAATCATTTTTTCAAATTTCGGGGTGTCCCAAAATATTAATTATAATTTTTTTGTCCATAAATAAATTAGAAGTGTCCCGCGACACCCTAAAGGTCCCTGGGATTGACACCAATATCAGAAGCAATTAATATTACGTTTGTTTATGATAATTCAAGAAATTAGTTGTAGGTTAAAACTGTGTAGTTGTCCTCACCAGTATTGTAATAATAGCCTAATCAACAGTATAATTTATAGCTGAAAAGTAAAACTGCAACCTCCATTCAAATTTTCCTGCCCATAGAGTGATTTTAGGAAGCTGATGTGGCAGGGTGTTAAGCGGGGGGAAAAAAACTCCCCGCCCAGAACTAAGAAACCGTCCCTCCCCACCTTTTCTCCTGTTTCCCATGTTATCATTTAATTTTCATTTAGTTTTCGTTTGACTGAAATTAAGCCCACCTTTGGTTATTAAGAGAACAAACCCAAAGGAAGAAGAGAACCCACCCAAAAAAAAAACAAAAAAAAAAACACTAGGGACAAAAGAAGAAAAATAGAAAAGCAGAGAGGGAGAGGCGTAAAATTGTAATAACTAATAATAAAAAATACCGATTAGTAATCAACAGTATAATTTATAGCTGAAAAGTAAAACTGCAACCCCCATTCAAATTTTCCTGCCCATAGAGTGATTTTAGGAAGCTGATGTGGCAGAGTGTTAAGCGAGGGAAAAAAAACTCCCCGCCCAGAACTAAGAAACCGTCCCTCCCCACCTTTTCTCCTGTTTCCCATATTATCATTTAATTTTCATTTAGTTTTCGTTTGACTGAAATTAAGCCCACCTTTGGTTATTAAGAGAGAGAAGAAACTCACGGAAAGGGAAGCGCAATTGCAACCACATTACAGAGATAGAGGGGGAAAGGTGAAAGGGAGGAGAAGGAAGGAGGTTGCTTACCCTTTTACAGATACGATCTGCGGAAGGAATGGAAGAAGCGATTAGGCAGGCGCAGAGGAGCTTCCCGTTGGCGGTAAAGTAGAAAGCGTCGGGGTTTCCATGGTAGGGGATCAATGAGAGCTTTAGGGAGCAGAGGGTTTGGGGCTGCGATGGATCGAATGTTAGGGTTTGGAGGCGGCGGGAATTTGGGGTTCTGAGGAGAACCTGGATCGATTTGGGGTGCATATTTGCGGGTAAACTTTCTAGGGTTTGGGAAGACAAAATTGAATCGTGTAATTGAGGAGAGAAATCGGAAGAGCACCGTCTCCCCCGCCGCCACGAACCCTGCTTCTATGAGTTGAAAGCCACGTTTGCCGCAAGCCAACTCATTATATAAGGTCATCCATTGCCAATTATCCAAGCTCAAATTTCAGAGGAGGTTAGGTTCATTCTTTCCTTTTGGATTTCAGAGAGTGTATAGAATAATCACTTCATTCGACTTAGTTTCTCACTGAGGTAAATGCCATGTTTCAAATTTATACATGTCTTTGTGCCTTTACTTATCATGCGTGATTTACTGAGATTTTTTTTATATAGCTCTCAGTTTGTCGCCCTGGCAGCTTTCCTCCCAGTTTACTTGCTTCTGTATGGGGGATCTTATTGAGGTTGAATCCACTAGCTCAAGAAAATGTGTTTTGATTTGGGGTCCCGTTAAAAGGAAAGTGAACTTAGATCCATTGACCGGCTGTTCAAAGGTGAGAACCTGTTCCTGCCGTTTACTTTTGATTCTTTGCTTTTCACGTTGTTCCGATCAAAACTCTGATTGTTTTGCTGCCGATATTGAAGACTTTAGGAGGAAATTGGAACTGATTCTAAAGTTTCAACGATAATTTGGGTTCCCAAATGCCTCCAAGGCGCTCCGACATGTAGCGTCATCCTCCGACCTCACCAACCAGTGGAACTTCGAATCGCATCTGAGTTCTTCAACGAGTGGCTCCCTTTTCTTTCCTAAGGTTTCCTTTTTGATGATGCTTGGATCAAAGTTAACTAGGGAGGAGAGATCTGCGAGGTGGATTGCCAAAATGGGTATGCTAAAATGGGTATGTTAAGGATATTTGATATTAATGGATTGCCAAAATGAGCATGCTAAAGTTTAGAACTGTGTCATATTTAATTTTTGCTTCTAATTGGACTTCAACGAGGCTGGGACGCTAGCGAGACGGAGGAGGATCTACCGATTTTGACACAAATCCAATAGAACCAGGTCTGTATAGCCTCTAATTACTTTACCTAAATTCCAATTTCAGCTCTGTTTTTTCAAGCTCTTATATTGATATGATTCTTGGATTTTAATCAAAGAATCAGAGGATGAGATTGGAGTTGCAAGAACAGAGGAACCGACATTTAGTGGTATTGCCAAAAGGAGCAGCAGCTAGGGAGTCGGTGATGATGAGATGAAAGGAAGGAGAGAGGGTTCAAGTGACGCTATTGTCCTCTCCTAACAAGAGTAGTCATATAGGTCAGCCTCTAGGCACTACAAACCCAAAAAAATCCAATGCACCAAAGTGAATAGCTTCCCTTTCCGGCGAATAGAAGGTATGCAATACCTTTGGTGTTTGTTTTAATGAGTTAATTGGGTTTGGTGTTCCTTGCCATGTTTAATGACACAAGTTGATATATGGATGATTGATAAGGATGTTTTGTTTAGCCGAGCAAGAATTCAGTGACTTTTGAGTTTTTTTTCTTTCATGGGTGTTTAATTGAGTTCATTAGCTTTGGTTTCTTTTGTGAATGACGTGGATGTGAGATGTTATGTTGCCTCCTTGCAAAAATTCAGATAAGATGACTATAAAGGATCACTTCAGAAGCCTGCTATCTTGCCCATTAATTTCCCCCGGCTCTTTACAGGTGATGGATTGTTTTGTTGGAGTTTGCTTCTTTGCTTGGTTGGATACTGTTAGTGATTTTTGGATTAGTTCTGATAGCTTTAGCTTTTTGGTTTGTCCATGGTGAGTTATATGATGGTTTGTGGGGTTGTTGAAGGGTGCAAAGTGTGATGTTTAGATGGTATAGTGTTCTATGGTTTGGAGGAATCACGACTGATAATGATTAGAGTTTGGTTAATTACTAGAAGAATTGGATATGAATGATGAATACTCTAATTGGAGATTGATTCTATGTATCTAGATTTTATAGGTATATTATGGTACATTGATTTAGTTGGTCCCCTTGGAGAACTATGTGGCTCCCCATGGTCACCTTACAAACTTCATTCTTCTCATTGTCTATAAGACTAGGCTTGGTAGGGCTTGGAGATGCGGCTTGCCTCTATAGGAACTGTTGTTATGAGAATTAACTTTGGTTTATGTTGATTGCTGACTACATATATTGACAACGTCTGAAGTAATTGCGATGGCTTGCGCAATTGAAAACTCAACAATGAAGTAGTTTCAGCTCATGCCTTCAATAAACACTGATATTTGTTCAATTAACAGACTCATTCTCTGAGCTTCTCTCTGGCTTTGATGGTGTGTGATTTCATTGTAAGTTTCACATGTCAAAGTGTATGTAAGTGCAGCAGTATCCTTTTAATGGTGCAGGTCAAAGTGGCTCCTTGGAGGTTGGAAGGAGAGGGATTGGTAGGAAGAAAGGTTCGAGTGATGATGCTGGTTTTCTATAGGATTGCAAGCTGTTGATAAGTGCACCAGTATCCTTTTCATGGCACAAGAGAACCATTGAATAACCTGCCGAAGTAAAGAAGACAACGAAGCATATTGAAAGACATATTATTTGAAATGAGTGTAACCTTCCACTATATACTGTTTTTGAACTCTGTGTGAATAATGAGTATCGAGTAAAGATAGTGGCACAAGTTCGATGGCTTATGTATTTACGGTATCTTGAACACTCAATCACTTGAAACTGGAGAAAGAGCGGCTACCGGTGGCTTCCGTTTGCTAAGAGTTGCATTCGCTAATGTGATGCTGAGACCTTGACCTCTATTTGATGAGGTGATTCCAGTTTGCCTTTTTATGCTCCTAAAATTGTTCTATTTTGTTTTGGTTGTTTGCTCTAATTTGAGGTCTCATCCATGGTATTTGGGTTGATGATTTGCGTTTTCATTGTAATTCGGTGGATTACAGGATTTATTTCCTAATGTTGCTTTGTTATGATGTTGCGGTTTGATAGAATAAAATGAGTTTATGGTAAGGTCGTGCTTTAATCAAAATTTTGTTTGATTTTAATAATCACTTTGGTTAGTCAGCTTTTTATTTTAGTTTTTTCCTACTACTTCAAGCTTTATATGGATATTTTCAATAAGAACGCTACATACGAAAAAGTCAGATGGTGTGCTTATGACAAACACCACTTGCTAGAAACATAAAAACTCCCTGATTCTAGGTGGACACTAATTCTGCTTGACAACTGGAAGAGTTTCGAGTTGAAGGAAGAAACTGTACAAGGGATGGTTGTTTCGGCTAGATCATCATTCAAATGAGGTGAGACGATTATGTTTACTTAATTATACCAACTGAGTTGAATCACTTAATTCCATGAGTAATAAAACATAATTATGAAACAAATCAAATTTAGCCCCATAAAGTAATTTAATGTTGGATAGATTGTGAGGGTTTTTGCGAATTGTTCCTCTGATTTTGGTATGTTTTCAGGAGATTTGTGGCTTGATACAACAATGTGCCACTTTCTAAAATTCATACATGAAGTCGCTGGGTTTTCTTGGCAAATGCATAACCCGTTCTTTCGATTTTTTCAGGCCACAAATACCGGTATTTGGAGACCTAATTATTGGGTTGGGTTGGGTTGGGTTTGCCTCCTCATATAAGCTGCCTTAATATTACTAGGCCAATGTGATTTTAGCTCCTACGAATGTAACCTTGGATGTGAAGAATATAATACGCCTGTTTCATTCTTTTCCTGGGTATACCTCACTTTGGCAAACATATGTCTCCAACCATCATTATTATACTCATTAAAATTCACCGAATTCATCAACACTTACTTCCGTCCAACGGGTCGGGCTATAGTCGAATAATCGTTAAACTAATCTACATTACTTAAAAATTACTCTCAACTCTTTAATAATGTATTGAATAATTTATTAAAAATGTCCAAAATCATTTGAAAATATAATAGTATTTGATTATTATGAAGTAGATAAATAAGATGAATTCATCCGACCTACGGGTCGGGTAAAAGCTAGTATGTGTATATATTCAAAAATCAAAAGAGAACAACGATGTAAAAGTGATTCAGTTAAGTATGAAAATGCACACACTCAAAATCTAAAGTGAACTATAAGTGTGTTTTGAAACCATGCCAACTCAAAATTACATTAATTATAACATAGGATATGTTTAAACACAATAATGTACAAGATTGACACATAACTATACCAACAAATTTGGTCATAAGTGTTAACCATGTAACCAAGTACTAGCATGCTTAGTAAGTAGATCAACTTGTCTTTCACCAGGCTAAGCATGTTGATGGGATGTGAAGAGGGAGATTGAGACTGAGATCTGAGCCACTCAAGCTTTTAAACCATCAATGACTTCATCAATTCATACTTCGGCCCTCTTTTCGGCAGCTAAGTGTCATTCTGTCTCTCATCACCGATCCGTATCCATGGCGGAGACTCTAATTGGTGCCTCTAAAGTGTGCGACAAAAAGAGGGAATTAAGAAGACTTTGGATGGATTCCATCCGAACAAAACGTTTAAGATGAGGTGACTAAGGGGTACCTTAGTCACATGACTAAGTGAATCTCAGCCCTTGTATCACATTAAAATCTAATGGCTCAACTTCGGTCCTCCTCCTGCTGGGCTGGGAACTTTACCCTTCCACCATTCCATTTTCCCCCCAACTTGGCCCCTTCCATTCCATTTTCCCCCAGCTTGGCGGTACAGAGAGAGAGTTTTCTGGTCAACTTTCCGGCGATGGTGGATGAGGTTTTTTGGCGACCAGAGACGGTGGAGGAGGATTTTCTGATTTGTATTATAAGTAGTGGTATTTTATACGGTTAGTATGCTTTGTACTATTTGTCTGTTTTTTGTGTAATGTTTGTAAGCTTTGTTATTTTGTAATGTTTGTCGGTTACTTTTGTAATGTTTAAGCTTTGTTATTTTTGTGCACCATATTTTTAATTTTTATGAACCATGTTTGTAATGTTTTTTATGTCTAGAAAATAACCTAGTTGACTTTTGGATGGAACTTCTCTATATAGAGATGAAACCTCCAAAGTCAACTCGGGTGTTTTTCCATTTTGTATGGTTTATCAGTCTAGTTTGTAATGCTTGTCCACCATGTTTGTATGTCTAAAAAACAACCGATTTGACTTTGGGACGGAGCCCCTCTATATAGGGATGAAGCCTTCAAAGTCAATCCGCTTGTTTTTTCATTTTTATATGGTTTGTATGGTTTGTCGGTCTAATTTGTATTGTTTGTATAGTTCGTATGTTTTTGTATTGTTTGTAAATCTATTTGTATGTTTTGTTGCTCTAGTTTGTATTGTTCGTATGTTTGTATTGTTTGTACTGATTGTAAGTCTAGTTTGTATGCTTCGTAATTTTCCATAATACCCAAACTACCATTGTCATTAATTAAATAACTCTTCCCACTTTTAACTGTCAGATTGATATCTCCAGATCTAAGGGCTGGAAGGGACTTAGTCAAGTGACTAAGTACCCCCCCCCCCCTTAGTCACAGGATCCTTCCTCCGAACAAAAGTCCCTTCTAGACTTGTTCTCGTGGCCATCCCAAATTTAATTAAGCGCGTAATCCTAAGACGGGCCCGTGTCGGGTTGAATTGAAGTTTAGGGATTTGGATGACTCATTGGCATCTATCTAGCTTCTCTTCTCTGGTTTGCAGTCCAAGAGATTCTTTCCCACCGGGCCATAGCACGACGGCCCGATCTGATTCATTACACCATTTTTTTGCGACTCCTTCAATAGCTGCTCAATGTTGTTGTATTGTATGTATATGCCCTCTTAATTAACCAAGGTTGGATGTTTGATCTCTAACTCATGGGAACGAAATATGTTTCTCCTAATAGTATCAGATTTAACTAACTGTGAGGGTTTAAATGTAATTTACCACAACTGTTGAAGTTATGAACTTTTTTATTTTTTATTGAAAGAAGGTATGATATTCGACATGGACGGACTGTTAGAAAGAAATTTAGATTGGACGAACGGAGAATTGTGCATAAATAGGTGATTTAGAATTGAGAATTAGATATTTGAAATATTAGGTGATAACGGATAAACTGAATTATGCATAATTTATTGTTTGTTGCATAACTCTTTGGGTTCTCTACTAAAAAATAACTTAATACCTCAGTGATTAACTTCAGAGAACAAGTTGCTAGATAGAATGGCAATCGTTGTTCAGTTCTTGCCCAAGAAGGTTAGAGAGTGTTTCCTGGATTTGGGATCTTTTTCAGAGGACAAGAAGATCCCATTGGATGTCCTCATAAACATGTGGGTCGAGATTCACGTTGTTGATGAGGAAGAAGCTTTTGCTATCCTTGTTGAGCTTGCAGACAAGAACCTCCTCACTCTCGTCAAGGATGCAAGGTTGGGATTTTCCTCTTTCTTCATTGTAAAGTTACTTTTATAATTGCCTTGCGTTTGAGGTACACAAGTTTGTGAATGTGGTGAATTTTTGGGAGATTAGGGTTGGAGATCTTTATAGCATTTACCATGACATCTCCGTGATTCAACACGATGTGTTGCGTGATCTCACCATCCATATGACGAATCATGGAGAGATAAATGAACGGAAGCAGATTATCATGTCAAGAAGGGAGATTGAGCTTCCGAGAGAATGGGAGAGAAATGCTGGCAAGCCATTCTGCGCTCAGATAATTTCAATTCATACTGGTATTTATCTAACTATCAATCTACTTATCCATCCTTAAACATTTTGAAATTCATATCGAGTTTCTAATCTCGAACTACAGGTGAAATGAAAAAAATGGACTGGCTCACCATGGACCTCCCCAAGGCTGAAGTTCTCATCATCAAATTCTTTGCAACGACTTACTTCCTGCCTCCATTTATCCACAACATGCCGAGGCTGAGAGCACTGATAGTCATTAACCATCATAGCCAAAACGCCACCCTCCGAAACCTCTCCATCCGCTCCAACAACATCAACCTTTGAATGTCTCTGGCTCGAGAAGGTCTCCATCACCACATTAGCATCACAGCCCGAAACCACCCACCTGAACAACGTCAAAAAGATCTCTCTAGGCCTATGCAACATCAACAACACACTGGATTCCATCATACCCTCCATGTTCCCTTCCTTATCCGAGCTCATAGTTGACCACTGCGACAATCTAAGCCAGCTCCCTCCCAGCATCTCCCAATTGGACACCCTCAACAGCCTCAACATAACAAACTGCCACAACTTCCGCCAGCTTCCCACCAATCTCAGCGACCTGAAAAGATCTCTGCTTATTTTGAGGTTGTACGCTTGTCTGAGCCTCAGGATGATGCCGCAGTCCACCTCCGAGATGTCAAAATTAAAGTACCTAGATGTGCCACAGTGCGTGAACTTGAGATCGCTCTCCGAAGGGATTGGGAAGATGTCCGGGTCGGAGAAGATAGACATGAGGGAGTGCTCGGAGGTGTCTGGCATTCCTGACTCTGCTGCATCGATGGAGTCGTTGAGATGTGTGATTTGTGACGAGGAGGTTTCGTGGTCGTGGAAGGGATTCGAGAAGATTGGTCTCCATGTTTAGGTAGCAGAGAAACACTTCAACTTGGACGGGCTCCATGAATAGTGCACCTCACATATGTATTATTTTTGTAGGCCATTGTGAATATATGTGTATCAAGTAAATAAATTGCATTTTTGTTTCACTTTCGAAGTCTTTTAGCGTTGCTTTTAGAAGTTATGACGGGTTCAAAAATGCATACATCTTTGATCATTCTGCTTAGGATTACATGATAAACTAATAAAAGCAGGTGATTCCAGTACATAGCCATGTTGGCAGAATGATAAACTCGAAAGTACGTCGTGAGCCACCTCTAATGAGTGTAGGAATCATAAATGATTATCCTACTAGCAGTGCAACCGATAATTAAATTGAAATTGGTGGTTAACGGTTACACTATTAATCAATTAAATAGTAAATGGTCAGTTCCCAAATACATACATCTATAATATAAAAAATTATGAACTAATAGAAACAGGTGATTCGAGTACATAACCGCGATGACAGAATGATAAATTCGAAAATACATTGTGAGCAACCTCTAATGAGTGTAATGACGTTATATTTATGCAGTCTGTTTTCACCACTCACTTTCAATTCTTGTGATGTTAGGCAAGAGTGGCACTATTGCTTAACCTGCCCAAGTTGTATTATATTTGAGTCATGTGTGAAAAGAATTTAGGTAGGAGGAATGAAGTTGTTTAGTGTTCACGTCGTCTCGTCGTTGAAGAAGGAAACCATGGGGAATTTGGGAAGAGAGAAGGGTTGACGAGCTTCTTTGAGCCAGTGAACTGATGGGTGCGTGAATGGTTGTCGTTGAAGTAATGGAAAAATGGAGACAATAATACCAAGCAGATAACCTTAAAGACTTGTTTCTTTCTCGTCCTTTAAAACCAAAAACAGGGGTGGGAATAGATGCATATTTGTATTCATTGCTTAACGACATCAAATCTTGGATCCACTAGATAATGACAGATTCTCTCCAAATGCGATGAATATGAGAGACCCGTGGTTGCCTTGCCATAGTGCGATTCAATCCCATAATTAGTAAGTTCTAGCGTGATCTGTGGTTGTTGGATCTCTTGTTTCATGGTTGGTGGATGCTTGTAATGAAACTTATTTACAATCGTTGTTAGCAATTAAATACTACGCACATCTAGCAAACATGAAGTGTAAACGTATAATCTGGTTGTTTAACTTCTATGGATATTCATTTGTGAACATCTTTTTAATTGATGCCTCAATGGAGGGAAGAAAGAAAGAGTAAGGTTTCATGCTATAGGCTTGAGACCAAAATTTATGGATTCAAAGTCAGACATATGACAATTCACTCGACCAATTGAACAGTAACTTGTTTTATAGGGTGCTACCTAAGGATTTTTCAATAGATCATGCAACTCAGTGTCACTTGCCCATGCACTTTGGATTTGATAAATTAGTTGGTGGCATAAAATATGGATAGTAAACACAAATGCATCTCATTAATTGAAGATGATTTTTTTTTAAGATTAAGTTTCATTAATGAGCCATGAGTGTCAGCCAGAAGGAGGACAACGTTCAAAGAGATAAATAAAGATAAAATTCCACCAAGTAAAACTCATACAATATGTTCCAAGCCAAACAAACCCACCAACACAAATGAGCCCAAAAGAGAACCACCCTCCTATGACAAGCATCTCCAGATCAAGGAAAAACCAACCTAGTTAGGGGAAACAAGGAAAACAGAAGGGGAAACAAGCCAACTTAGATAGAAGAGGAGGGAAACCAGAGCAGGCAAACAATCGAAGTGCACCAAAACTCGTTTTCAACCATACCTTGTTGGATCATACACCATCAGATGCTCAACTAAACACCATGCAAGAAGAGGAATATCAAAGCAATGGCCATCACATAACTGATCCACGAAGATGGAGTCTTTGTCTTCGACATAAAATGACCTCTTCCAGACCGCTACGCGATGAGAAGTCCTTGCATCTCTGGATCACTCACTTGTTGGGTGAAACAAGGAGGTAGAAAAGAGATTAAAAGGCGATAAGATAAGCTACAAATTGGAGTCGATAGCCTCTTTTGTTCACCAAACAGAAGACCACTAAACCTTCAAGATCTAAATATCAGACAAAGAGGCTGGAGTTGGAAAACACCCATCTCGCAAGGAGAGGCCAAAGCGAGAATCTCACGAAGGGTTTGAAAATCCGAATGGAAAAAGGAGTTAGAAGAGGCCAAATGGAAGTAAAACTATTATTCTTGTGGTATATGATCCACGATTGAACCTCTCCCAACAACTCGAATTATTGGGATCAACTGGTTCATGACATGGTATCAGAGCCTTCTGTGATCGAGAGGTCTTGTGTTCGATTCCCGGTGACCCCCATTTGTTAAGCACATGGTATTCTTGTCTTCAGACATGTGCAAACTTCAAGCCCTTGTGAGTGGCTTTCGTTTGAGGGGGCATATTAGTGTTGTGGTATATGATCCACGATTGAACCTCTCCCAACAACTCGAGTTATTGGGATCAACTGGTTCATGACAAAAACAACCAACAAAAGTAAGGGAAGAATGCAAAGGTAGCTAAGAAAAAGAAAAAAAGAGGTGAAAGACTGCGAAAGGTCCCCGAATCGACAACGATGATATCCGAGAGGAGTTGGAAAAAGAAATTCTAGAGAGAAGTTGTAAATGGCATCGAGAGAAGTAGAGATGAGTCAATTTCAACCTGATCTGTCTTATTCGACATGTTTGACATTTTCTTGTAGGGGATGAGATTGGCATGTGTATTATCGTCAACTTGACCTTCCCCATTCTAGACCCATTTTTGTCGAAATTGAATGTAATTTTACTTCAATACATATCCATGACTCCACCTGCTCCAACCCAATTATCCGATCAGAAACCAACTACCACGAAACAGGTATGAATATCAAGATATTGCCTCGACCTACCTATTGCCAATTGTCATCCTCTAGGGAGGAATTCGGAAGGTTGGATATAACCTTGGGCCCAAGGAAACAAACTCAAGGGGAAGCCCAGTTTTAAGTAGGGCAAGCGTATATTAGTGCCTAAGCCCAATCACCTTGCCAAAGAAAATGACCGAAATATCAACCAAAACCTGTTGTTCCTCTAAACTCACTCTACCACCCTACGTCATGTCTGACGTCTCTCTTTGATCTTATGCTATTCTTTTTACATGCTAAGTTCAAAGATAACTATAAAAGTTTGTTCACTACAATTGAAGTTCATGTACACCTGCCTGTTTCGTGTTTAACAATAAGTCACAGGTCATTATGTTGTGAACCATCGGCATTGCATCAAGCTGATATGCTTTCACAAACACCACAAATATTGATATTCTAAATTATCTCCAGCACCAATTTGGAGATATGTTTCACACTTTCCTTGTTCGGCCGCGCTACTCGACAGCATCAGAACTCAGAAGTACGTTAATCAGCTGATTGGCCCTGCCCCATAAGACCACATTTCTGAGTTTCAACATTCATAGTAGTCTCCATGCCACACACCTGCTGGCTTCTTCAAAAACACCCTACATTTCAGCTTACCATCTTCAGAAGACATCACCCGTTACTTGACCGTGCCATTTACAACATAAACAAAGCTGTACCAATCAATCGAACCGACAGTTCTTCCAGAACCAGGGATCTCAACTTTAACTAACCATTTCGTCAATCGACAATTGAAGAACTGTAACCTCCAAACATTAGGGGACCAGAAAATGCAAGAATAATTCAAGGGACGTTCAGGACCCACGGCCTTTAACCTGACCATCAAAATCGGCTCCAAGACCCTCAAAAAGCTAGCAAACCCAACAAAACTAAGAACCTAGTACAACATGGCTAAAGCCTAAAGTTAAGAACTTTATCTGGACCAAAAAGGGAGAAAAGGCGCCACATTACATATATTAAACATGTAAATGTTGGTCCTTGCCCGGTATATCGAAGAAAGTTCAAGTAATGTACAGATATAGAAGCCAGAGGGAAGGGAGGCTGGAAGGACATTGATCAAAGGGGTATGTCGATGGATCGAACTAGTTACGGAACCTGGAAGGCAGCCATTCATGTGCTCTGAGTGGAAGGCTATAGAACTCCTCAGTTCTGGGATCTCCCTTCCTGTGCTGGAACGGCTTCAACCATGGGACCCCTCTGTCGTTGACCGCTTCCTTCTCCAGGGTGTTGTCTAAAATCGCCGCCACGATTATGGCCACAGCAGGTGCCGACGAGAACACCGTGTTCAATATGTCGTTGAACTGTCAGGAGGAAGTTAAGCATATATCTCATATCAAAATGTGGAAGATTTAGTGTTTGCTGGGAGGGTTTGTGGACACACATTAACATATTGGGTTAGATACCAATTTGGTAAACAACTTAAAAAAACTGAACTCAATCTTAGTAAGTCCTGCACTCCTAATTCTATCAGGATTTATCGTTATCGTTGATGATCAGCCTTTAATTGGCGTAAAAGGAATGCGACAACAACTACATAACGGCAAAAATTTATGGATGAAGTGGAATGCTGACAGTGACTATTAGGCTGATTCCAGTGTTTTTGTGATTCAGCAACCAATAATATAGATAAGCTAGTTCAGTGATCAAATTGGTTTAACTCTGTTGTACTTATGAAGATGGCTATATGTGTGGAACTTACCCATCCGCCATTTGTTCTAACAGGTCCACGGCCATCGTTGGAGGTGTTGCCGACGAAATATTGAGGGATGGATATAGCAAGGAACAGAGATAAGCCAAGGACATAATGGTTTCTCAGGGAGTTGCTGTTTGCAAACTGCATGAATGAGATTCCAACTGCGGCTGTAGAGAAAAAAGGGTGGGAGAAAATTATACCGAAATTCAGGTCAGGGAAAAATTGATTGATCGCATAAGGGACAGATTACTTACCAACTATTCCGAATACAACACAATAAATGGCAGCAAATATTGGAAGAGGAATGGATGCAAATAAGGCACCAAACTTCCCTGAAAGATGGAAATCATAGTAGCAAGTCAGAAGGGGCTATGAATTCTGAGGTATCTTAAAGTCATGCTGTGGAAGCTCGAAACACTAACCAAATATGGAGAAGAAGAACATGAAAGCAGTCGATATTTGCACCACTCTACGGCTTCCTATGTGTGTGAGCCCGAGAAGGCCAACATTTTCACTGTAATATCAAGATCAGAAAATGAACCAAGTTCCTAGATTACAGATTAAGAGTTTATACTAGATCTTCAAAGGTAAATCTCAACGACAGAATCAACACAACTACCATAAAGGATCAGGTACTTACACAGATGCTGTGGTACCCACGAGAGCACCAAAGATTCCATCAATTAGCAAGCTTATACCCTATATGAAGAATGAGACAAGCATCATCTCTTATTATTCTGATTCATATCGATATACATGTAAAGAACAAAGATTCAGAGAGAACTATAATTGTTACCTGAAGACCAATACTTCGGCTGACAACATGTCCCGGAGTATGTGTTGCCCCTGCTAGACGTGATGCAGCAAAGAATGTCCCGGTTGACTGCATTCAGAGGAGAACACCAGAAAAAATGTCGATAACAAAAAAACTAAATAGTAAGCCATCTTGGCGAAGAAACAGAAATAGAAACATCGACTGGACCTCAGCAGCTGTAACAAGTGCAGCCCCCATCATCCCAAAGACATGGCTTGCTCTAAATATGGGCGGACCCCATTGGAATGGATACGGAACTCTGACCCTGGATTAACAAAGATAGAATAAGTCTATCAGGGAACCGAATAGGTGTTGGATTAACAAAGATAGAATAAGTCTATCAGGGAACCTAATAGGTGTTTGTGACGCAAAAAGATAGCAGAAGTGAAAAGTATCCATACCATGGAGCAGACGATATGAGAAATGATCGATCTGTGCGGCAACTTCGTTGAGTTATGGGCGCAACGTTGTTGTAAGCACCAGCAGCGGTAAGGATAGCAGCAAAAGCCCAAACGAATCCGAGGCAGAAAAGCAAGTGAAATCTCTCGAGTAGTGCATGGGCCCTCGAATGGAGGTGCTTCAAATACTGCAGCAGCAAACACAAGGAAGTTACTTTCAAATGTGGAGCATGCATTTGCTTCCAGCTTATAGTTTTATACGAAACTAAACTCACCTGGCAAAAGACAAGCAGTAGCAGCATAGGCAGACCAATCTCCACACAGTTGGCAAGCTGCAGGAGCAACAAATTACTTCTGATTATCAATTGTGTTCAGTGGCATTCAGCATCATCGGCCGACAAACACCCGTGGCCTAAGTAAAAATCAATTACCATTGGGAATCCCCTGGTGAAAAGACCAAGGCCAACAACTCCAATCACCGGGACAATAACTATGGCACTAAAGTGTCTGTGAAAGATAAATCAAAGCGGAGAAATGTGAGCCAAAAAAAATACAGAGCAGATAGTTATTCCGGGAACCAACTAGCACATGAACTATGAAGAATGAAACAAGAAAACAAGTTATCTAGACATGAACACCCCAAATGCGTTGATTAAGCTCACTTGGTCAAATTCCCGATTATTGTGCTGTACCCCAAGATGATGTTGACAAACGAAGAAACGATTAGCGCTCCTTGAATTGTCCTCATAGTGTGGACAAATCTCTGCCAACATACAACAAGAAATTAATTAAATAAGAGACTTAACCACACCAAGACAATGTAGAATCACCCCACTTTTAAGCTAGTCATGAGAAGAGAGTATACGTCGTGCTCATCGGCAAAGTTCTCATTCGATAGATCCTTTATGATCGACAACACAGGTATAGTGTATGCAAAAGATGCTCCCATCACAGTTGGAAGCCTCGTCCCAATGAGCGTTTGAAGCAGCGTATTTATTCCCGCCAAAAACAACAGTGTCTCAATCACGCGGGCTTTATCACCCTGCGTGTAAATTAATAGTCGAGAATGTGGTGAAAAAATGCAATAACAGTTTGATTCTGAGTTAGTCAAATGAACTTTGGATGTTATGCACCACTTACATGAGTGCCGCCCATTCGAGGCACGAGATTGCTAGCAATTATCACTATAGTGCCAAGCATCACAATGTAGTGCTGGAAAGCCAGAAATGCGGTTTCCGCTGTAAATTGCTTAGATCAGTATATTATCAGCTGTAAATTGTATGTAACTTGATTAAACATCAAACATTTCAACCCTACCTAAACCTTCCTAAAACCTAAAATGACTCAACTAGAATAGTAGCTTTCGAGTAAGTTAGGATTGAAGAATTCAACTTTAATAAAGTGAATTGTACAACTCTGTCGGTACTTTATACACAAAGTTCTTTCAGGTAAAGATTCCGAATGAAGTAAGGAATCAAAGCATATGCTCTAAGATCCAGAATTCCAGCTGGAACTTCCTCAAGACTTGGAAACGGAATCGAAAAGTGATTCTTCTTATGTGGAAACAAAGCAAAGCTACGCTTCTATCAGCAAGCATAACAAAGATGAACTTGATGACCCCAAAAAAAGAATTATCACCATGAATTTCATCCAAGACTTCAGAGTACCAGAATCAGTAAAAATTCCACTTTCCAAACACCAGCAGACCAAAAAGCACCAATCTTTTCAGCCATAGCTTTCTCCATAGGATCGAATAAACCCCTAAAAGCTACAACCCCTCTATCCAAATTCCAACCAACACGAATTCAAATCAAAATCAGACCATAGCCATTAGAATCCAAAAGAGCAGGACACAGAGAGAGACAAACCCCAAGAAGGGTTGGAGTGGATGCAGTACTGAAGCTGCTGGAGCTGCTCGGCGGGAGTCCAGATTGGCCCCTTTGAAACGGCAAGCGGCGGAGGCCCCGCCGGCTGCTGCGGCGGCGGCGGCGTGTGGTTGTGGTTATGCCCATGCCCTGTTTCCCCCATCTCGCTCTATAAAAAAAAACTTCACTTCACTAACAAGATATTTTCTTTTCTTTCCCCCCTCAATACCCAGAAACAGAAACAGAGACAAAGACAGAGCAGTGAAGATGGGTGGTAGCTGGCGATGGAGAAAGGCAAGTGCGTTTTCCGTTTGTCCCCTGATCTTAACGGGAAAGGATAATGGATGGTCAGATTTACCAGAAATGGGAAAAAACGAAAAAAGTCCACCAGAGTTCTTCAACTTAGCTCATGTACCCAGAAGAAGGCAGAACAGAGGAGATTTGCATAGATACAGAGTAGTACGCTAGTATTGAGATTGGTAAATTGAAAAGAGTGGGACGAGAGAGAAGAGAAAGGGATTCAGAATCAGAACTCAGGCGGTGGTGCTGTGGGTTTCCTTTTAGTTGAGTTCCTCTCAGCTCGGCTTTCCAGGCAATGCATCGTCAAATAGATATCATTTAACATAACGTATGGGTTTAAGAGCTTGGTGGGACCCTTTTTCATTCGGCTATTACGAGGACAGAGAGAGAGGAGGAAAGAAGTAGAAGACACCACGGTTTCTCTTCATTTTCAACCCAATATTCACCCTTATGTTCGCTTCTATTTACAATTCCTACCCCTCTTCTCTTTACAAACGACCTGGTTAATCTGCTAACTGGTCATTTTGTTAGTAGATACTAACTGATATCCAATGGTGTATGAATTAATATCCAAGTCTTTGCGAACTAAATAATTCGGGTAGTTGATCGGTTTGGGCTCTGATACCATGTTTTTGTTACTCTCTTATATTTTTATAAATGTCTTATTGGTTTAGTAATCTTTGTTTTATTTTATTTAGGCTAGTTATTATATCCGTAATTAATTCGGTTTTAGAGATAGCTTCTTCTAATGTTTCTGTGATTCCAATACTCATTTGTTCCTCTACGATTTCTGAAGCAAAGTAAGTTAGTTCTTGTGTGACCGTATTGATATAATTTATTGAAGTGAGATTTATAGCATCTATTCCTTCAATTAATTTATTTATATGATAATTAGTAGGCATGTTTTAGATTTTATTCTCTAGATTTGCGATTGAATGTTGCAATTTTTCCAACTTATTTATTACTTGATTATTGGTTATCTCTTCAATTAATTTATTTACTTGATTATTGGTTATCTCTTCTTGTTCTAGATTTTGTTCAATTACTGGGATATGCCTAATTCTCTCTGATTGTGTTTTAATTAATCGTCTTTGATCTTGGGTTATCGATGGTCGACTAGGTTCTATTCTAACAGTTTTTAATGGTGCTTCTAGTTGAATTAAAGGTTTAAATAAATCTTCTATAGTAATTACTTCCTTATTTTTAAAGGTTAAGCTGTGGTGACTATTTGTTAATGCATAATTTATTTGATAAGTTACTGAAAATGGTTTGCTATTCTCTTTCATAAAATTTTCTCTTTTTAATTCGTATTTTATAATGATAGAAGAGTCAAGATTACCATCTGCCAGGCTTAATCCTTGTTGCAGGTTAATGTCGAATTTAATTATTCCTACTCCTAAATTTCCCGTTCCTTTAGCAATAATACTTTCTTCTTCGTTTAGGAGCCTATCATCACGAATTTCTAATTCCATGGGTGCGTCAATTCCTATTTTCATGGTTGATTTTAATATAATTTGAATTGTACTAATATGAATATAAGCTATTTTATTTCGTTCTTCTGGTCTTAGTTTAGCTAATCTTTTTCTGATTTGTTCTTTATTTATTACTTGGATTAAGAAATCACCCTTAGTTTGATCAATAGGGACTGCTACTTCACCTATCATTTTACCATATTTAATAATGTTTTCTCTATCAAAGAGCTTTGATAAAAAAGACTTAGTGATAAAGTTCTGAGTTTCTGAAATAGTAAAATTAGTTTTTTCTCTAATTTTCTTAATGTCTATAACACCATCTAAGAAGTAGTTTTCATTATCATTTTTGTTTAAATAGTCAAAATAACTTGAGGTAGGATTATCAGACATACCTGACTTGCTCTTCTGATGAAATTCTGAGCCTTTTGATGATCGCTTGATGATTGTAGCTTCTTTCCGTGCGTTTGATTATATTGAAAATGATTGTGGCCTCCAGGATCAGTGGATCCAAGCCTTACAACTAGCTAGCTAGAGGGAGAGAGTAAACAGGCAATTTTTATGGCCAAACTCGTTCTGCCTTATTTCATTGCAAACTCTTGCTCTTATATAGAGCTGAGGGGAGATACAAAGACGTCATTGCTTACGTTTGTGCAACAGGGACGTAAAGCTAATACGTTAAAAGAAAACGCGTGAAACGATAAGAAAGCTGATAAAATACAATAATGCACGACTTTTTTAAAGGAGTCGGCCAACCTTCTTTTGTCGCTTTATTCCATGTTTGATTCCTTTTTCTTCACATGCTTCTGTCAGTCTTGGTCTGCTGGTCCACTGATGTCTTCGTCAGTTGCTGCACACCACTCACAGAGATGGTCTTCATAGATAGTAAGCTCATTGCATAACTGTTTCTTGATTTGAGTGGGAAGGGCTGACAGATTCCCATTAATTTCTGTGAATTCCTTAATTTTATCTGTTATGATTGCCCATTCTTCTTTGGTTATGTTTCCTCTTGTTTTGCTGGTGATGATGACATCGGGGCTGCTGTAATTAACTTTAATCTGGCTTTCCGGTTCAATTTTGGTTAATGCTCTGCATACTGCAAGAAGACCCTTTACTTGGTAGTCTGGGTTCTTCTCATAGTCTCGTAGGTCATCTCTGGTAGGGTAATCATGGTTTGATACTCCCATGAGGATAACTGCCTTTGATCCGATCAATAGCTTGTCTTGATCGAATACGGGGTAGCTGCTTGTATATTTGAGAAATATTTCTCTTTCCTTGGCGAATAGCTCGAGATATCTTCTGATTACGTTCCTCATTCTTTGTGGGAAGTATTCAAATACCTTCATGGTTGTAGTGTAGATAGTGTCGATTAATCCATATTGATGGAACTCAAAAGAGAGTTCTGGTGATGCTTCTTCTGTGATTACTGCTTTGGGTCCTCCTCGACTGACGGGGTAGAAACCCATGGTCGTGTGTTTTTCTTCATAGTTGATTATCATATCCCAGTTGGATATGAACTTCTGAAAGATTGGTTTTAATTGCTCTTCTTTTTCCTTGGTGGTTAGGATACTTTTGATACTGGGTATCTTCATGACAAGTTTCTGCGACTGTTGCTCTTGATTCTTGAGTGGTTCTTTCATTGCCATCACCTTGTATGATTGTCTGTATGCTTCGTCGGCTGCTTCTTTTGTTTTAAATGATTGATGTTGGACTGGTTTGCCGTTGATGTGCTGGCTAGCGATGGCCCAGTTATGATATACTCCTCGGTATGGTCCATTGAATATGACATACCATTTGCTGCTTTTTCTGTCGTCTTCTTCGTAGTGGGAATCTTTTGTTTCTTTTTCTTCTTGTTCAACGATGTCTGCCCATCGTGTTGTCTTTTGTATATTATTGCTGGTAGTGGTGGATGATTGTATTGCTGTCGACTTTTCAGCATGTTCTGTGGTCAGTGTTGATGGCTTTCCACTAGTGGAGCTAGTTGTTAATGTACTGACGTCGATGTAGTTGATTTTTAACTGTTGCTGAATGACGTCGATTGATTGAATTATTGCTTCTTCTTCCCCCCTGCAAAGGAGAAGCTGTTGTTCCAGTGCTGCACTCTTTTCCTGCTTCTGCTTTAGTTGATTGATGAGGGTTTTTATGAATCCTTCCATTCTCGAGTCAGTGTGTCTGTGAATGGATTGTTGCTGGACTTGATATACTTCAGATAAGGATTGTAATAATGGAGTTGTTGCTGCCACCTGATTAATCTTCCTTTGTTGAAATCTGCCTGAAGCTTGTATCTCCAAAAACCTGTTACATATTTAGAGTCGGTTTGAAGTTCAAACCTTGTAGATAATAATTCAAGCTTCCATTTTTTCAATGTTCTGAGACAGGCTAGTGTCTCTAATTCGTGGATCGGATAGTTCTGTTCAGTGGCGGTAAACGTTCCAGAAATATATTTACATAATTTCTTAGAATATTTATCACTGTTGAAAGGAACTGATGATTGAGAACTTGAAAGTTCAATAATATTGTCCGAAGACTGATAATCTTTAGGCTCTTGGCCAGAGACAGTAGCCTCGTTATTGTCTATTTTGACATTACCAAAATTGTCCATTTGTAATAATTCCTTACCATTTTGTATTGCTAACATACACCCTGCCCAAGTGTCCTTAGAGGCATCCGTTTGAATTATTAGAAAATCGTTTTCACAAGGGTTATATAATTTTGGTAAATGCTGACATTTTTCTTTCATTAATAAAACTATTTTTGTGTCTTGATCATTCCATGACCAAGGGATTTTGTCAGAAATCTTTTTCTGTAAATGTTTTCTTTCTTTTGCTAAATCTTTTAAAAATCCTTGTTCGCTTATATAATTTAAGCATCCAAGAAAACGTTGAATTTTTTTTCTATTTTCAAGTTGGTTTGGGAATTTATCGATTTTTTCTTTAGTGTTTGGTGACAACTCAATTTCACCCAAATTATTAATCTTCATACCAAGATATTCAATTTCTTTTTGAAGAAGTTTTGATTTCTTCTTAGAGATAATTAGACCTTTTTCTTTTATTCTCTGTAAAACTATCAAGATTTTTTCACGATGGTCTTCTTCTGATTGATTTGTGAAAATAATAATATCATCAATGTAAGCCAAACAGAACGATTGAAAACCTTCTAATACATGATCCATAAACCGTTGGTAAATAGCTGGTGCTTGTTTCATCCCAAATGGGAGAACATTCCATTCGTAATGTTTTTGTGGTGGACATGAAAAGGCTGTTAAAGGTTTGGTATTCTCATGTAGACGAAGTTGCCAATATCCAGATTTAGCATCTAAACTACTAAACCAAGTTTGACCTTTTAATCTTTCTAATATATAGTCTTTCCTAGGTAGTTTATAGCTATCTCCTATTGTTTGTTCGTTTAGTTTTTTATAGTTTATTACCATTCTTCTTTTTCCTCTTTTGATTTCATTGTTATTTTCTACATAAAAGGCTGGTGCACTGTGAGGACTTTTACTTTCTCGTATTATTCCTTTTTCAGCTAACTCTGAACATTCCTTTTGGAATTCTTCTACATCTCGTTGAGTATATTGAATTTTGTTAGGGACATTAACTTCCATTTTAGGATCTTTTAGTTTAATTTCGATAAGTTCTTGATTGGTATTTTTATCTTTATCTAAAGGATGTTCACTACACACCTGGTCTAAAGTATCCTCTAGAATGCTATAAGTAATCTGTATATATTCTAGTCTATTTTTGAGGTTTTGAAGCACAATTTTTAGCACTTCATTTTTTGTGATTATTCTTGTTGTGATTATCTTAGATTCCTGGTCTATTGTTTTAGGACA